ACGTTAGAAGAAACTGAGCTGTAGGCTGTAATTTGCTAGCCTGAAATTAAATTACCGAAGTTTAGGCTAATTTTAACTTTAAAATAATATCTATCTTTACACTTGCGCTTAAATTTACAACGTGAACAAGATAAGTATTAAATATATAATTCTATTGATTCTACACTGTTCATTCCACTTCAGAAGTAACACCGTTAATGCTTAGCATGGTATATTCTTACGCATTTTTAGTTTTTAAACATTCTCTTTTGGTGTTGACTTTCTGTTACCCCTGCCATAATGTAACTAATCCCAACTTATTAAAAATAGCACCTAGATGAAAAACCACTACACCGAGGGACGCTGCGCAAACACAGAATCATAAATGTCCAATAATAGACTGGATACGATAATGGGGCTCCAAAACGTGTCAAAATGTCCGTCATCGGCCCGACATGGCCAGGTGATTAGGGCGCTTGACTCGCAATCTGAGGGTCACGGATTCGAATCCCCGTTCCACCAAACATGTTCGCCCCCTTTCCGCCGTGGGGGCATTACTATGTGATGGTCAATCCCACTAATCGTTGGTAAAAGAGTAGCCCAAGAGTTGGCGGTGGGTGGTGATAACTAGCTGCCTTCCCTCTAGTCTTACACTGCTAAATTAGGAACGGCTAGCGCAGATAGCTCTCGTGTAGCTTTGCGCGAAATTCAAAACAAACAAACAAACAATGTCCGCCATCTTGGAGCGGTCAATGCCGTAACTGTGTCACGCCTGTCTCCTTCTATTATAATATATATTAGATAATGAGTGCCTGTCAAGTAAAATAATTTTACATCGCTTCCTACATTCAAGGCTGTGATTGACCATATAATGTGACCTTGACCTTCTCTACATTGAATCATTTGATTTCTGCTTTATTTTTAATTTACTGTAAATTGTATTCTTATTCTGCAAGGTGAGTACGGTATACACAAGTACAAATGAGAGATTGTCTAAGCCTTTATTTACAACATTTATTAACGGATCGGTCGGTGCTTTACATAAATTATTGTTACTATGTTACTAACCTTTTCTTTTATTATTATTATTCTAAATCATTTTATAATTTAAAAACCAGCATAATTATATCCACTGTAATGTGTTGTGTCCATAATACACGTCTATCTAAGTCTGGGAAGTTTATTTCGGTTTTGTTGTACACGTACTGTTATATTAGTATATAGTCACTGGGTCGTAACTAACAGTAGTGACCGCTGCAAGATGGCGCCCGACGAGAACACAACGGCCAATAGGAAGAGGATGCGGACGTCGTATCCAGTTTGTATTATTGGATATCTATGCGCAGAATATCGTGTACACGAAGAATAATTTAGATGATTCTACCTTTCAAAATGTAATTGAGTAGATTTTGTAAAATTCTGCACTAAAAGTGGCGTGTCTAAAACGAACATTACAACTGTAAATTATATATTATTCTTATATGATGTAAGAATAGGCTTAAGCCTTTAGCTTTGTTCCTAACACTGACAGTGTATTCCTTATGCTGATTTTGGTTGCTGATAATCGCATTACTAACTATAAGCTTACAGTTAATTTTACTTTATTGTAGTTATGATGGTCGTATAAAAATTAAACCATCTCCATTTAATTCCTCTAATTTTATGAACATTTATAGTCTGATGGTTAGGGCACACGACTCGCAATCTGAAGATTGCAGGTTCGAATCCCGTCCTCAAACATGCTCACTCTGCCAGCAGTAGGGATGTTATAATTTGACAGTCAGTCTTATTATTCGTTCGTAAAGAGTTGCCCAAAGGTTGGCGGTGAGCGGTGTACTGTTGCCTTCCCTCTCAATTAAGAACAGCATTCGCTCAAAGACCATTCTAAGTGTAAACTGTGTATTATGTAAAGCTGGCTGGGAAGCAATAAGCTGTTATATAATTTCTGGACAACTGCGATATTAAGAAGTGTGTATAATCCAAGAACACACACACGCACAA